TAATTGTCCAGTCTCTTCTTAAAAACCTCCAGGATGGGGTCCTTGGTTGCTTTTTTCTGGTTGTTTTCTTGCAGACGTTTCATGACCCAACTAGGTAACATCATCAGTGCTAGAAGAGGGGAGGAGGAGGAGAACTGTGGGGTCCTTGGTGGTCTCTGAGCTTGGTTGTTTTGTTGCAGATGTTTTATGACCCAACTAGGTAACATCATCAGTGCTACAAGAGGGGAGGAGGAGGAGAATTGTGGGGTCCTTAGTGCTCTCCGAGTTTGGTTGTTTTCTTACATGTTTCATGACCTACCGATTAATGGTCAGGAAATTTCTTCTTAGTTCTAGGTTGCTTCTCTCCTCAGTTAGTTTCTTTCCAAGTCAACTGGGGAAAGCTTAAGCCATGGGAACCAAAGACAAAATATCAGAATCAGCGGCTGGATTTTTCCTTGAGAAGCTAGCTGTCCCTCAAAAAAGGGAAGATTGACGAACCAGCTCTGTTCAAACCATGCCACCTGCAGCACACCGTATTCCAACGGACAGATGATGCTCCTTACTGGTTTGGACTCGCCGAGTTCAGAGGACTATCTCCCTGGGTACAAAATCAGCCCGATTCAAGTGGTCTGACAAATAAGAGAGTTATTTTGAGCTGCGGTGGCGCAGTGGTTAGAGTGCAGCACTGCAGGGCTACTTCTGCCGGCTGCCTGCAATTTGGCAGTTCAAATCTCACCAGGCTCCAGGGCGACTCAGCCTTCCGTCCTTCCGAGTTTGGTCAAATGAGGACCCAGGTTGTTGGGGGCCAGAGGCTGACTCCGTACACTGCTTAGAGAGGACTGCAAAGCACTATAAAGCGATATAAAAATCTAAGTGCTATTGCTATTCGTAAAAGTAGGAGATAAGCACGGTCCTCCTTGGGCCTGGATGCTGGCACGAGGGATAGGGCGGGTGTGTGTGTGTGTGCAATGTGTGCAGACACACGCCCAACATGAAAAGAATGCAAGGGGGAGTTGCATTCCTACAGATCGGCCTCTCAAGAGGAACAACTGCCTCTCAATAACTAGGAAAATTGGTTTGTGTTTGTTTAGACAAAGTATTTTGCAAAAACGAGGCTCTTTTTCTTAATAGGCAAAGGATGCATGGATTAGCAGACAGAAACTTTGGTGGACTTGTACCATAGGCCAAAGTGCACTCGTGTTTTAATGCTCCTGCAGCAAAACTTTTTTAAAAAAAAATTCAGAGGGGAAGATGGGATTTCCTATTACTGTTTTAAGCCATCGTGCAGTCTCCCGAAATCTGTACGATAACAGGATTTCTCTTTCATGTTGTGTTTTTAGCTGACTGAGCATTACCAGCCAATGCCCTTTTAACATTGCACTGCTTTTTGTGCATGTTCACTAGTAGTACAACATAAAAAGGGCAGTGGACGGACACCTCTCGCCATCCGGAAAACAGCAATGATGACAGAATTGGAAGGGACCTTGGAGGTCTTCTAGTCCAGCCCCCCAGCTCAAGCAGGAGACCCGATACCATTTCAGATAGATGGCTGTCCAGTCTTCTTCTTAAATATCTCCAGTGTTGGAGCACCCGCAATGTCTGGTGGCAAGCTGTTCCACTGGTTAATTGTCCTCACTGTTAAGAAGTTTTTCCTTAATTCCAGGTTGCTTCTCTCTTTGATTAGTTTCCATCCATTGTTTCTTGTTCTTTGGAGAATAGCTTGACTTTGTAGCAGCCCCTCAAATATTGGAAGGCTACTATCATGTCACCCCTGGTCCTTCTCTAGACCAGGGGTGGACCAGCAGCAGGCCACAGCATGCCAGAAACCAGCAAACCAAGCAAAGCCCCATCCACAGGATGCAGGCGGCACAGTAAACTATAACCCCTCCAATCCACGGGAAAAACTCTCCATGGAACTGGTCCCTGGTGCCCAAAAGGTTTGGGGGCCACTGTTCTAGACCAGAGGTCCCCAACCTTGGCAACTTTAAGCCTGGCGGACTTCAATTCCCAGAATTCCCCAGCCAACTTTACCCTGGTCTAGACTAGCCATACCCAATTGCTGCAACTGTTCTTCAAAACACGACAAGGCAAGCTCAAGAGGCCATTCCTGGCAAAAATGGCAGTGGGGGAGAGCAGGGAGGCCTTGGAATATCCATCAAGCCACCCAGTGTCATTTGGAAGATGGGCGGCATCAACATTTAATAAATAAGTAATAAATAAAACTTAGGACAAATAGGCTTACAAGCATTACAAGGTTCAGTAAGGAGCATGCAAATTAAAAGCATAATCTATCTGAGGTCCCATTGGGAAGTTCAAGAATTCCTCACTACCTAAGGTAGTCTTTGACCTACATCCATTCGTTTAGCGACAGTTCGAAGTTGCAACGGCACTGGAAAAAAAAGCAACTTAAGACCATTTTGCAGAGTGACGTCCTTTGCAACCATCCCCGTGATCAAAATTCAGATGCTTGGCAACTGGCTCACATAAGTGACAGGTTGCAGCGTCCCGTGATCCCCTTTTGCGACCTTCTGATTAGCAAAGTCTCCACGGGGAAGCCAGGTTCGCTTAACAACCGTGGCTATTAACTTCTCAGCTGCCGTGATTCACTTACGAGCTATGGCAAGAAAAGTGATTTGACCCAGCTCCCCAAACACAACAAATCTTCTGAAGTGAACCCTTTATTAGAAGTGCTGGCAACCCTGGCAAAAAGTTTCTCTTTCAAAGCAGCAAAGTTGTTTCTCTAACAATCCATCCGGAAGGTGAATAGTTGTCTGCCAGTCAAGGTCGTAAAATCGAGCAAACCTCGCTTAACGGACTTGCTTAACAACAGAAATTTGGGCTCAGTCATGACCGTAAGACAAGGAAGGCTCTTCAACCTTGGCAAGTTTAAGACTTGTGGACTTCAACTCCCAGAATTCCTGAGCTAACATTGACTGGAGGAGGAATTCTGGGAGTTGAAGTCCACAAGTCGTAAACTTGCCAAGTTTGAAGACCCCTGCTGTAAGGTATATCTGTACCCTGTTCCCAAATCCTCCATTTCTTCAGAATCAATTAATGGGAACCCCAAGCGGGGTATGACTGTTTGGCATCTTAGCAAGAGCCAGAGAAATTATCTCCCAGAATTCCTGAGCTAACATGACTGGAGGGGGAATTCTGGGAGTTGAAGTCCACAAGTCTTAAAGCGGTCAAGTTTGAAGACCCCTGCCTAAGAGGGAGGACTAGAACTCACAGCCTCCTGGTAATTGGTACACAGTCACCCAGCTTAGGCATTCATCCCTAAGGCAGGACTAGAACTCACCAATGTCATCCAACCAGCTTATTTATCTAAAGCAGGACTAGAACTCAGTTTCCCAGTGATTGGCCCAAAGTCACTTTGTTGGATTTCATGCCTAAGGCAAAACTAGAACTCACTTTCTCCTGGTTTCTACCCTGGTGTCTTAAGTACTAGACAAGGGCCCCCCAAACTTGACAACAATGCTGGCTGGAGAATTCTGGGAGTTGAAGACCACAATTCTTAAAGTTGCCAAGTTTGGAGCCTCTGCACTAGACAAAACCTAGTTCTTGTTGTCATTTAGCCTCACAATATTCTTGCAGTGCCAACTAGGATGGGGAAAAAACAGTCCATGGCTGAAAATGGCTTTTCTCAACTTGGTGCTTTCCAGATCTGCTACATTGCAAGAGGAATCAACTCCAGGTAGCATTTTGTATGGGCAGAGGATAAGATTTAGAGGCCACCCAGCCCTTCCAGAGGGCAACAGGATAAGGAAGTCCCTAAATAAGCTTTCAGAAGACAAAACAAGTCAATACTTTGCACAGGTACTTCAATACAGGCAGTCTTTGACTTACGACCACCATTTGAGCCCAACATTTTGACTGCTTGGAAAAGCAGTCATTAAGCGAGTTTTGTCCCGTTTCATGACTTTTCTTGCCAGTGGTTCAGTTAGCAACACGGTTAAGTGACTCTGGCTTCCCCGTTGACTTGTTTGTCAAAAGGTGGCAAAAAAAGATGATTCCCAAACATTGCAATCATCATAAATAAGAGTCCGTTATATGAAGCAGCTGAATTTTGATGTGAGCACAGGGATGCCGCAAATTGAAAAATGATTTTTCATGCCATTGTCATTTCATAGTCACTAAATGAACTGCCATTGGTGCAGTGGCCTACAGGTGGAGCTCTCACCTCACAATCAGGAGGCTACCAGGTCCATCCTAGAGGCAGATATTTCTCTCTCTGGGCACCATGAGAATATATCTGTTGAATGTAACTCCACACTGGCAACAGGAAAGGCATCTGGCCAATAATCACTCAGCTCCATTCAGGTGCACAGACTCCACCACACACAAGATTACGGGGTCATTAAAGCGAAGATAATGACTAAACATTAACATTAAGTTGAGGCCTATCTATAGGCAATAAAAGGCTATTTTTTTTCCTTTTCAATGCCATTTACCGTCTAGTTCAATGGACTTTCTCTTCCCAACCTTTCTCATTTTTCCTTCAATGCAACCAGCATTTTTTTTCTCCTGGCCTTCCAAAGGCCCCATCGCTTGGGGGGAGGGGGGGGGGTCAGGAGAAATGGGGCGACCCACCACTGAAACCAGCCCAGCATTCAAGCCACGCCTACAAGCACTGTTGGCCACGCCCCCGCGGGAATTCGAGCTGGGGGAGAAATGGACCAGCCCAAGAAGCTACGCCCCCGACGGACCACGCCCCCCCTCCAAGCCAGACAGCAGAAACGCAGCGAGCCCACAAACCCCCCCCCCACTTTCGGGGTGAATAATGGGCGCGTCCAGCTCTATTCTAGGGCTCCCCCCTGCAGGCGTGAGGAATGGTTGAATCCGGCGGGATGAGGGGGGAGGGGGCAGCTTTTCTTACATTCCTTCCCTCCTCCGCGGCTTTTCCACCCCTTTTGTTCCTTCCGTTCGTTTAGGCCGCTCTTCGGGAGGCCGCTTCGGTCCTCAAGGGAACGGCGGCTTCCGTTGTGCGCGGTGGCGGCCCGGCCAGCAGTCCCGAGACTTACCATGGTCTCGAGCGTAGTAACCGCCGTCTCCATGTTGAATAGTTGACATTCCTCAGGCGCTGGCACTCTCCCCTCCTCTGGCAGGACCGCCCCTTTGCTGAGCGGAAGAAACGACGCTCTTTATTGGGCGGTCGTCATTCCATCCTCTTCCTCATTGGCTTTTTCCGAGGGCGTTCTTACACCTATTGGACAACGCCTGGGATAACCCCCTAAGATGAAACGACAGATCCGATTGAGTGGCTTGGAAGCTATCGCCCTTTCCTATTGGTTGATTAATAGCGAAGCGATCTGGGAGAAAACTGAATCGGGAGACCGGATTGGTTGGCGGGCGTCAGCATGCGGCACTTCATTGGTCCTTAGCGTAGCTTTTAATTTTCAAAGGCGGGCCCGGCTCGTGGATGCCCTCCTTTTGCTCTGCCTCCCCTTTCGTTGTCCCCATTCTCGCCGACGATTATTCTGATTGGCTCGCGTTGGAAACCGGGAAAAGAGGATTCGCTAAAGGCCGGTCAATCAAAGGGACGGTCATGCCTTTGAAGTTTGAGGCGGATGGAACGTTGGCTCTCACTTGCTGCGCTGTGATTGGCTCCGGCGGAGTTTGAATTGTTTGGCGTGGCGATGCTGCTTGCGAGTTCAGACGTGGCTACTCGCATCTAGGGAAGCTGCTCATCCCGGGTGGTTTGAGCGGGATCGTCCCCGAGGAAGCCTGTCCTGGACACGAAACCCCTTTCTGCCATAAAGTCTCGGCTCACTGGGGACAAGTTCGCATGACACATGAGCAACGGATTCAGTGGGTCGTGGGAATCGAATCGTTTGTCCACGAGATGGGTCAACGGTGAACTTGGGCACTGGTTTACAGGTAGTTCTCGACTTACAACACTTCATTTAGTGATCTTTCAACGTTACAACGGCACTGAAAAAAAAATCGACTTTTTCAAAGTCACAACTTTTTCAGCATCCTTTTTGTTAGTTTTTATTGTTGTTTTTTTTTAATTTTAAATATGGTTTTACATTCTGTAAGCCGCCTCGAGTCGCCATGGGGGGGAATAGGTGGAAATATAAATTAATTAAATAATAAATAAATCCCCATCATGATGTGATCAAAATTCAGACACTTAGCAACGGATTCATATTTATAACAGTTATGGGGTCATTTGATCACTTTTTGGGACCTCCTGATCAAGCAAAGTCCACTCCTCTTGTTATCTGCATGTGATGGATTTGTGTTGAACACATCTTTCTGTATCTCATGTCTGACTATTAGCTTAAGACAAAGGTGCCAAACTGGCAGCCCATGGACTGGATGCATCATGTGCGGCCATGCCCACCCCAAATCCACAGAGGGAAAAACATCGTGATATGTCATGTGACAACAATGTGACATGACAAGTTTGACACCTGTGGCTTAGGAGAATATTAATTTACTTATTCCATTTCTTTATTGTCCACCCCAAATTGAGAAAATCTCTGAGGATTACCATTGTAGCCAAAATAAAAATAAAATGTACATAGTACAATTATATAACAATCAACAATAGGAAGTTTCCCTATCCACAGATAAATTCATAAAACAACCAACCCTAAAGCAATAAAAAAAACTAGCAGGATCTATAAATCAAAGGCTCTTTTAAATCATTCCAGTTTTTATAATTTCTTAATGAGGCAAGAGTTTGGGGGTCAGTATGTATTGCGTGTGCTAAAGAAAAGTCCAAAAAGGGTTAGAAAAGAGTGTTAGAAAAACTCTAGTTATAGTGACGTGGAAGCCCGGGAAACTTTCAGTACCGGCTTCCACCAGTTAGTATTAAATAAAATTTGAAGCATGAAAATGCCTCTGAGTTCGTTTTATGATGATTGCATTACTTGGAACCTGACAGTAAGTTGAGGACTACCTATAATTAGATATGTCATTTAATTATCCTATTTTTTCCCAATAATGTGGTGGTTCTCAACATTTTTTTTCACCACTGGCCCCCTTTAAATACTTTTTGTGGCCATGGACCCCCAAGACTTAACTCAATATTTAATTCATAATATTTCTTAAAGCCTTTGTGGAACCCCTGCGACATCAGGGCCCCCAAGAATCTACGGACTACAAGTTGAGAGCCACTGCCATAACGAATTGCTGCATCAAACTATTTCTTTTTTAAAAAAATTCTAAAGACTTGTCAAACTTGGCAATAAAGATATCTAATTTCATTGTAGGTGAAATCCTGATATGTGTTAGCCTTCTCAAACAATTCTGGCTAGTGACACGAATGAGGATATAGTTTAGCCTGGAATTTGAGAAAATGGCCAGAGTTAAGCAATGGCGCCAAAAATGGAGATCCAGAACACAATCCTCGTCAAAGGGAAAAAAACACATTGCGTTGACATCTTCATCCAGTCTTTCTTCAAAAGTTTTGCCGGCAAAGTAAGTGTTTGTGGTTTTTCTCTAGCATTTCTGGGTAACATTTTGCAATTCCCAACATATTTTTTGTTAAACCCGCGCAGAGGTAGTCCTCGATGTACGACCACAATTGAGCCCAAAATTTCGGTTGTTAAGTGAGGCATTTGTTAAGTGAGTTTGGCCCTATTTGGCGACTTCCCTTGCCTTGGTCGTTAAGTGAGGCACTGCAGTTGATAAGTTAGCAACGGTGACAAGAAAGGTGGCAAAATGGGGAAACTCACTTTAATTCTTGCTTAGCAAGAATTAAGCTCAATCGTGGTCCTGCGTCAAAGATTACCTGCATTATTCTTGAAGCATCCTGGTAGTTGAAGCATCGTGGTAGGAAAGGGCCCTGATTCCCTTCACAAAGCACACCTGAGGAGGGAGTTTAAAGGAGAGGCAGTTGGGAAGGGCGTTTGTCAGAAACAAATGTTGAGTTTATCTAATGTTGGCTGCTGTTATCGGAGTTCCTGGCATCCTCCCAACTGGTTTGATTTATTGCCATGTTACTTCACTTCTTGCTTTGTTGGATTTATAGTTTAAAGTTTTCTGTTTACACCGTTTTGTGTTGGAATATCTGCAGTCAAAGGCTGTTGCAGGTTCCTAGGAGAGTTTTTCTCCAGACCGGAAGGTAGCCGGGACATTGGGGGCAAAGTTGGAGCTAATAAAGGGACTCCATCTGGCTGAGTTGCCTTTGTGCCATGCCCCGGGTCATCACACATGGTTTTTTGCAAATAAAATGTTAATTTAGAGTTGGCTGTTGTTTTCAGCAGGTCTCCAGTTGTCCTCCCTACCCAAAGATGGCCGTTCTCTTCCTGGCTTTCAGCTTTTGGAGACATATTAGAATCCCTCAAACATATCCTGGGTGCTGCGGTTAGTTGGTGTTGGTGGTGCCAGAGACACGTTGCACAAGTAAGTTTGTTTTCTATTGAGGCTGCCTTACAGGGAGTAGAATCCTTGAGTGGCTGTTTGGCCCTGAAAAAGTGAACTGTGAATGTTTTTCCACACTAATAACCATTGTAGCATCCCCACAATCAAAATTAGGAGACTTGGCAACTGGCATGGATTTATGACGGTCGCAGTATTCCAGGGTCACGTGATCCCCTTTTAATGACCTTCTAACAAAGCAAAATTGATGGGGGAGCTTGATTTCAGTCAATGAACATCAGCTTTTGGGGACACCCACAACTTGAAACATCCTCTCAGCCAGGTGCAGAAATAACATGACCTTGACTTAGAAGAAAAATGCTTTCTCCTGACCGAAGATGTCATAATAACGGATTTTTACGGCAACCAGGTTTCCTTTCCATAAACTTCGTTCTTGCTCCATGAGCTTCCTTTTGCGGAACTTATTCTAAGGAAGCTCATTGGGCAAGAACCAAGTTTTATTGAGTTTTATAACCTGAATTTGTTTGTTTGTTATTATTTATTTATTTAGAAGGTGGTTATTCTGCCTTTATTAATTTATCCATAATTCAAGGCAGCAAACATGCATAATACCGTGGGGTATTATAATAATACCCTCAGCTACAAATATTCTCTTCTATTGGTAACACGGTACATAATATTTGTCCTCTTTTTCATCACAACAACAGCCCTGTGAGGTGGCTGGGCTGAAGGAAACGAAATCGCCCCAAATCACCCAGCTGGCTTTCGTGGCTAAAGGGGGACTAGAACTCACCGTCTCCTGGTGATTGGTTCAAAGTCACCCAGCTGGCTTTCGTGGCTAAAGGGGGACTAGAACTCACCGTCTCCTGGTGATTGGCCCAAAGTCACCCAGTCAGTTTCATGCCTAAGGCGGGACTAGAACTCACCATCTCCTGGTGATTGGCGCAAAGTCACCCAGTCAGCTTTCATGCTTCAGGTAGAACTAGAACACCTGGTGTCTAAGCCATCATCTTATCAACTACTCCAAAAAGAAGACTATACTTGAATTTGCACCATTTCCTTTACTTCTCCTCTAATCGTATGGCAATGTGATAATGAGCCGTGGTAGCAAAATGGTTAGAAGGCAGCACTGCAGGCGAATTCTGCTGACTGCCTGCAGTTCAGCAGTTCAGCTCTCATCGGCTCAAGGTTGACTCAACCTTCCAACCTTCCAAGGTGGGTAAAATGAGGACCCAGATTGTTAGGGGGTAAGAGGCTGACTTTGTAAACCTCTTAGAGAGGGCTGTAAAGCACCATAAAGCGGTGTATAAATCTAAATTGCTATGTTATTTCTCTCTCCAGATTTTTCACCTCTTTCTGAGCACAGCATTTCCTTCGCACACGTACCTGGAGGAGCTGAAGGAGCTCAGGGCTGAAGTCAAAAACCTGAAAAGGGACGTGGCTGAGCTGCAGTCAATTCTCCAAGTTAGTTACCCCCTTCCTATGGTTGTAGTTACTCCAACCCCATCAGACTGCATCCCTCGTCTTTATGTTTCCAAAGGCCAGGAAATACGATGGCTCGTGAAGCAAACTTATAACTTGCTGTATTTTATTCATGAAACCAAAACTAAAATATTATTTCTGGTGGGGAAAATGATAAATTGCAGTCCCATGGGGCACTGCAAATGGTCGGAACTGCGAGTCAATTGCCAAGAGCTCAAAATGGGCTCACATGACTGTAGGGGTGTGTATCTGGAAGTCATAACCTCAGAATGAGTTGGAAGTAGCTTTCCGGGGAGTCTGTCACGACTTGAGATAGACACTAAGTGATCGGTCATAAGTCGAAGACTACTTCTCAGTGCATCATGTGCCAGGGGTCAGTCCTCCTAGTTATGTTGTTAACTATGTTGATAGCTTGCTTTTTTTAAAAAATGTTGATGTCAGTTCTCCAGAAAATCTCAACTCCAATAAATAACTCAGAGACAGACATATTCTCAAAGGTTCCTTTTATTAGAGTAGTAAACTAACACATCTGGGAAATCCCGAATCTGAAAGTTCTGGGTTTCCCTTCAATCAGTAAAAAAATTACAAATCCACCCCCTGTAGCCATCATTCCATCACATGCCCCAATCACCATGTGTCCCAGTTTGTGTTCTGACCCAAACCCTTGTCCAATAAAACAAACATGAACCAAAGGGTACAGAAACCTTTTAATGATTCTTACGAATCCCCGGTTAAAAGGCTGCCGCACACTAATTCACTTTGATAAGCACGATCCTCGCCAAAATTGTGCGAGGCTGTCAAAAATAACAGATAAGGTTACCTAGAAATATTTTACAACACAAGAGTCTTCAAATACCAACTAAGATACTGCAATGTCCACAAGGTTCGAGTTTCAAAACATCTTTGCTTCCTGCAAAGTACGTCCAATTCACAGCTGGCTTTTATCTTCTTGAAGGAGGGGCCATGACCTTGCAGCCTTACTCCCGAGTCGCCCATGCTGCTGCAGCTGCTCTTTCCTATGAACAGCCCTGCACGCACACGCACTTGGCACAGGCTCCTCGGGAACCACCTCATCGCTGCTGCCAGCCCCCACAATCTCGGAAGGCAGCAGTCCACTCCCTAATGGTCCTGGCCCCTCATCTGAGTCCTCGCTCACCTCAGCCGTCCGCACCTGCTGCCGGCTAACCACAACAACTTGAAACGTCCTCTCAGCCAGGTGCAGAAACCACATGACCTTGACTTAGAAGAAGAATGCTATTATATCAAACCACATACGCTCCAAGAAATTCCCCCCTCCCATTTTCCCAGGCTCAAGAATGTGGCAGCATGGAAGCTTCTTGTGCTAATATGGCTTCCAAAGCTGACAGTTTGACTTCGACATTTTACTGCTTTCTGCTTTAATGTTTTAAAATATTTTTAATTGTAATTACAGGTAGTCCTCGACTTACTACCACAATTGATCCCAAAATTTATGTTGCTAAATGAAACATTTGTTAAGTGAGTTTTGTCCCATTTTACAGCCTTTCTTGCCACAAGTTGTTAAGTGAACCACTACAGTTATTCGGTTAAGAACATGGTTGTTAAGTGAATCTGCCTTCCTCGTTGACTTGGCTTGTCAGAAGGTCGCAAAAGGGATCAGTTGACCTTGGGACACCGCAACGGTCCTAAATAGGAGTCCGTTGCCAAGCCTCTGACTTTTGAAATTGAAATTTTGAATTTTGTAACTCTGAAAAAATGGTCATGAATCATGTTTTTCAGTGCCATTTGTAACTTCAAAGGGTCACTAAATAAAGTATTTGTCAGGATTCCGGCAATTACCCCCATTTAAATCATGAGTCTCGAGCAAAACTTCCAAAACTTCGAAAGGATTTATTGGGAGTTAACATGTCCAGCACTGCCTGGGTGTAGCCGACTCTGAGACACATCATTCATTGTCACCCTTGACCCTGGTTTTTTCCCCCACCTCCTGGGTATATTATAATTCATATTCTCCAATGAGGCATATTCAGGGGTGGGATTCTACTGTTTCTGTCCGCCTCTGTAGAACCGGTAGCTCTGAAGAGCAGCAGACATAGAATCGGTTCTTTGTCTGCTGCTGTTTTGGCCCACCCACCCGCCTGGGCTCTTACCTGACTTTTATTTCCTGCTTTTTCAACCTCAGCTGCTCTGCGCAGCACAGCTGCGGTTGGAAAAGCAAGAAATAAAGTGCATTTTCAACCACTGTGCACCTGCGCGCATCACTGCTCAGCTGTTCAGGTCGCAAGCTGACAACGATTCACATGCGCGCGCAGCAAATCGTAAATCACCGAAACAGTAATTACACTGGTTGGATCCCACCCCTGGGCACATGATCCATAGCCAAGAGTCATCAATCACGTTCTCCAGTTTATAATTTTGCGCGGCTGAAACTTCAGTCACCTAGTTATTATCTTTGAAAACTATGGAATGCGCTTTCGATTTCCAAGCTGCCACGCTGTTCCCCCCCCCCTTTCTGTTGGCAACTCTAAAAAGACTTAAATAGAAATATTTTATGAGTTGACACTATTGTAAGTCAAAGACTACCAGTAAATTAAATTAAATGCATCTCTTTTCCCCACTTTCTCAAGCAGAATGGAGGCACTTCTGTGGGAAACCCGCCTTGCCAGCTCTCTCCAAACCTGTTATCAGCTTCTGCACATACACAACTCTGCGTTGCACAACCTGCACCTTTGTCTTCAGAAAATCCCACCCCTCCCCCTCCCCCACCGCCTCCCCCACTGCCACTTCCACCCCCACCCCCAGCACCCCTTGGATTCAAAAGACGGAGTGACCCAAAGGTAAGACGGAAGTTAAAACCTGCCAGAGATAAATTTTGGAATTTCTTTTCTAAATGGAAGACCTTGTGATGCTTGGAAAGGCTAACTGTGCTAAATCCAGCGAACCATAATTTAGCTCATGAGAGACGCAAAGGACAGCTAGTCCTCGCTTAGCGACGGTTCCTTCAGCAACCGTTCAAACTTAAGGGAGCACGGAAGAAATGGTACATGCAACCTGTCCCCACAGTTACAAGGGTTGCAGTGCCCATGTGATCATGGAATGGAATAGGAATAGAATGGAACAGAACAGAACAGAACAGAATAGAATAGAATAGAATAGAATAGAATAGAATAGAATAGAATAG